TTGAAATTTTAAGGTTATAAAGCCAAGCTGACTGGTTTGCATTACTGGCCTTCTATATCGGCTTCCCGGTGAACTGATTTAGGTTAAAGAGGAAAAAAAAAAAAAAGAATCCCTTTACAGTTTAGAGGAGGAAGTCATTTCATGTGTCCTGAAGAACAGAACCACAACTGTGAGACGAGCTCACCTGCTTCATTCCTTAACTGAAAACTTTGGGAAAGGGGCCAGTGAGGAGACCAGTCTAGGCAATGGATGCTTGATGAGAAATGAATTAATTCGATTATTTTCACGGTGTGGATCAATAATAGCCTTCCCCAGAGACCCCGGCCCGAAGGCTGCCAGATAATCAATAGGATCACGGGGAGCTGGCCCTTCTCCCCTGGCAGCTCCTCTGATCTTTTCTGGGCGGGACTCTTCACGCCTGTGTAATTCTAATTTATGTCAACCAGAAATCAAAGAAATTCCAAGAGGCTTCAGTCATAGGACATTGGGGCGGGCCTTTCATGATCTATTTCCCTCTATTCTTTCAGGAACTTGGCCCTTGGCACCACTGCCTCCCCCTGGCCGCAGGACACCCTTCCAGGGCAGCTGCAGGCCAAGGTGGAGGAGAGACCATTAGGTAAATCGAGGTAGGCTGTGTCCTTACCACCTCTAAAGTCGCAGGGACACAGAACAAGACATTTTAAGCACGATGCTTTGCCAAGAGTGGCTCTCCCTCAATAATGCTCTTTAATGATACCCCAGACGCTGGCATTTTCAAATCAAATGAACAGTGTATAAAATTAGTTCTGCATGAAGTTAAAAAAAAAAAAAACCTCCAGAAAGTGAAAGGGAGCTTTTAAAAGCTCCAGTATTTCTCCATCCAACTGCTTTTCGCAAGGGGGTTGGCATTTGAGAATTGCTACGTTTACGATGTTATTCACTGCTCATAATTCAGGCCCTGTGTCTCCAAACTTGTGTATTAGCACACACTGCTAAGGTTTCCCACACCAGCCACTCCGCCTCTGGCGGGCTCTGAGTTCTCAGCCCATGTTGGGCCTCCGTGCACCCTCCCTCCTCACCAACCTTGCTACCCCAAACATTTTTCATTAACCTTGAACACTGCATTTGCATTTGCCCTATAGCTTTCCCAGGATTTTTTTTTCCCGTTTCTTTTCAGTTTTGTTCTCTATCCAAATTGCCTTGTGAGAAATGAGGGAAAATATATTATGATGAAAAACAAATCTATAGAAAAGTTAGAATTCCCTGAAGTTGTGAAAACGATTTTTAGGACCAAAGCCATTGTCTGTTATTGTGGAAACTTGAGTAGACATATTGTTCTTATTAGAGGATCCCATTAATTGTACAGGTACTTTTAACTAAATCGCCAAGTAAATGTGAGTTAAATTGGTAGGTGATTTTGGGTCAGCTCGAGTTCCCAAGGTTAAGTAAGCCTTTGAACAACCTTTAGGGATAGAAGCTCACCCCAATTCATCAAAGCCATCTCCCACAGCGTTTTCTTCACTCGCTTCTTTCAGTGCAATGAAGTTTAGAAGATTAAGAGGCGTCAGCTTCAAAACCCTTTAACACGCTTATCCATCGAGCAATCAGAAAAGCTTCCTGATACCTTTCCTAACTTTACAGCTGCCCGAGCAATGCTGTGTGTGCTGCACGGTGGGGGGGACCGGGGGGGTGCTCACCAAGGGTGCCGCCAAGCATCTGGTGCAGTTGAGTTTTGACATAGTTCCTTAATACAAGTACATGTGGCTTGCTTCTGCAAAGACTGGGTTTAATATTTCCTCACCTGTTCTCCGTTTATCTAACGAGAGTGAGGAGTTGATGGCATAGCTTTTCCTACAACAAATGCAACGTGTCTGGCTATTTTTGCAATTGCTGAAAAGCTAAAACGAAGGAAAAAAAACCCCTAGCTTGGAAAAGTGCACCCCCCAAATTACATGTAAGTGACCCCAAATGTAACTGACTACATAAAAAAGCAAACACAATTAGACTTATTTCTTAGTACCACTGGGCCCTGGAATGTGAATGCAGGACCACATGGGCTCAGGGACCACACTCCTGGCCTGAGACTGGGTGCTACTGTATGAGGCTTTGGTCTCTTGCCTTCTCCTTTGGGTCTGGTAGGGATCCCAAACGACAAAAAGCCAAATGCATGAGTTTTTCAAGTGGTTAGCAGATTTGGCTCAGGAGAAAAGACCCACTCTAATTGTGTCATGTAATGCCAGGTTGGCACAGATGGCCACACACGGAGGCTCCGGGTCATTTTGTCCATGCCCTGATAGAAGTGTTTGTTTCTTATTCCTAGTTTCATCTTTATTTTTCTGATGACTGTCTCCTTACCTGTGTGAAATGCTCTTTTACTCACTGTTTCCTTGTCCCTGAGCCTGACTATGTTATTAAGTTAATTCCAAATAGTGTCCCACAGAGGTTTTCAGTTTCTATCAGAAAATGTATACAAGTCTAATTATTCCTATCTTTGCATACAAAATAATAATTCTCATTTTCGGTTTATGGGAAGAGACAGTACAAAGTACATCTTCTCTAATCGGAGTTTATTTTTTTCCCCACTGTTTTAAATTTCCTTTCAAAATGGGTTAGTGGCCATTATAATTTTTTTCTCATTTGGTTTGGAAATATCACAGCACAAGTTAATAGAATGACACTGATTATAAAAATCATCAGTAATCGCATTATATAAATAACAACCATTATTCTAAATGCTCCTATAGAAGGGGTTTTCCAACAGCTCATGAAAAATACATATTATGAAAAGACTGCATAGATTTCGACATTTTTTCAGTAGAATAAACGGCTTTTTTTTTTTTTACTTCTGTGTTTTTTCATGAAGTTCTTGAGGTGCCCTCGTATACAAAACAGACCTTATGCTCTGGCCCTCGGTTCTCCCAGGTCTTTCCCTCCACACTGGATCTGCATGAGGAACGCTGGCATGGTACCCCGTATTACATTTTCCAACCCAGCAGCACTGGATGTCTTTCATTTAAGTATTCCTTAATTTCTGCAGCAATTTTCAAAATGTCAGGTAGGAAAGGTTCTTCAAAAAGTCCATGCAAATGTGTTTTGAAACATCTATGCATGAGGTTCGAAAAAGAAAAAAGCCTCTAACACGATTTTTTCCATAAACTTTGTGAACTATCCTCACATCTTGGCTCTAAGTGCTCACAACCCGTCCGACAGGTGTGATGTTGATTTCCTGCACAGGGAAATGGGCACAACTGCAATGACATAGCCAGAGTGTGCACCTGAACTCTGGCTCCAGGGACTGCACCTTGGCTACTAACAGCTTTCCTTTGCTGTTATTTATTTATTGCATAATACAAAATGTGAAAGCTGGGTACCTACTTTAGGTGCGCACACAACTAAACCAATAAGCAGGCTTTCCTGTACCTTCCTTGCACTTGGTTTTCGTTTGGAAATGTCTTCTGTTCTTGTGGGACCTCTCCTGCTTGGCTCTGAGATGCCGTAAAGTCTGAATGGACCAGAAGCAAGGCTGGCCCAGCACCTCCTAACGCTGGGCTGTGGTGCAGCAGCTCTGGCCAGATGACCTTGGCCTAGAGCTAATGGGCTGCCAGAGCAACTTTCTAGCAGGACAAAGGACTCGGGAGCCATCTGAGAAAAGATTAAAGCCTTCAGGGACACTGCTAAGTGTAACAGCCTCTTCATCTCATTTCGTACTAATTTATTGGCCTAGAAAAGCACCCATTGCTAAGATGTTGGTCAATCTGGCTGGGACGATCTACTGTAACCAGGGTATCCAGCTTCTGCACTTCAGCTCTGGGAGTGCAGCTGGTCTCAGCATGTCTGCAGAGTACCGAGTGATTTCTGAGAAGGCTGATGCATGCACAGGGGTGCACGCATGCACACAACCTAATGCCCACGGTCAGGCAGCACCCATGCAGCGATTTCTTCCAGAAGCTGGCGAGATCTGTCACTGACCCTTGTTCCTAACATCTTGCTCACTGTGGACCCGGTAACTTGTCTGAAAATTCACTTTCAAGCCACAAGGTTAGTGGCAGTGTTCAGTTGATTTGCAGGGAGTGCTGATGGGGACTTGCAACCTCTGGGTCCCAGTGCTGTTGCCTAGTTACAGAGTAAGTAGCTTTCTAGGCTTGGCTAAGAATACATACTAAAATCTCTGTAAACACAACTAGCTGAGAGGTCCAGTATAAATAGGGATTTTAGACTATTTTGAGCTACGAATTAAATCAATTAACACATGACAAAGCTTATGAGGAATCAGCCATTCTTCTATTGTCCTCACATTTGTTACGTTTAATAAGTGGCTGCTCTTGTAGAGGCACCTCTCATCACCACTGCACTAGTAGTGCACATGTGTCGGTCAGGTGCAAGTACAGTCGCCTGCCTTCACAGGGCCCCCTGTTTGCTGCTGTATCCAGCCAGCTGCACAGGCCTTCTCCCAGCCTCTGGACCATTTCTCATCCTGTACTAGGAATGGCATCTGACGTGTGGGGACACAAATTCCTCCTTGCCCCTTTCTTGCCCCTACATGGCCAGAACACATAGATGTTGAGTCCTGAAATTATACACATGGAAAGACCCAGTTGGGTACTGTGCTTTTCTACTTTATTGATGTAAGAAACTTGGAATTGAATTTTCCTGATAGACCCTGCAAAGTGCAATTTACCATGCAACCCTGTCATTTTGGTCTATGGACTTTCTGAGTAGCATATCAAAACCTAAGCTGCTTGGTGTGTGCTGTTTCTTTTACTTTCTACTTAAGCACAACATTCATTATTAAGGAAATGCACAAATAATCTCACATTAGTAAACCAAATAAAAATGCATGCAAACATACAGATGTACATACATTTATATACATACGCCTCTTACGCATGCGTGTGTGTACATATGTGTGTGGTGTGTATGTGTTTGTATATGTATATATGGAAGAGAAAGGGAAAAAGGAATATGACAAAGCTATTTACTTCACTGACAGAGAAAACAACAATTTGATAGGCAACTCTTACTTTATCACATCTCATGAGCCCCAAGTACCGCAGAGACTTGCTGCTTTGCGCAATCAAGGTGGCTCCTTGGTCTGTGATTTCCTTGCACCATCCGACATCCACCGTCTCTATGGTCATGCTGTAGCGCCCAATGGCAATCAGGGCTGAGAGGAGACACAGAAGAACGCACCCATGTTAGCAGTGTTAGGAATCTCTATCTAATTAGGACCATTTCTCTCATTTCCTCACTAAATTTGTTCCTGAAATGTTGTGTGTAAATGAATGTTTTAAAAACTAAATTAAATTTGAAATGCTTTAGGAAAGCTTGCCCTATGACAAACCCTTCTGCAAACTGAATTATCATTCCATAATTTCCCTTTCATTGGATGTAACATTTTATCAGATTTACTCACTACAAGGTTACCAGTACTTTGGAACATGCATACCTACACAATGAACAAATTAAAATGAATGACAGCTATAATACTGGAAGAAAAAACCCAGCCCAGATAACATTCATAATTGTTTTACAGAAAAATCTGTAAAAACACCATTTTGAGGTTTGATACAGTGTATGTGATGCTTTTTTTTGCCAGTTGGCATAATTTTTTCCATGTGTTCATGACCTATGAAATGTGAGTATATAATATTTTTTGCATTAGTCTGTTTGGACTGCTAGGAATTGAGAGTACAGTATACATAAAGTTAAATTTAATTGATGCTATGCTATAGTGCAGTAAAGGGAATACATTTGTTATGGCCAATTTCCTCACCATATCAGAAGTCTTCCTTCTATTAACATAAAATAATGCCTGCCGTGTGAGAACTGTGCCAACATCTCCAGTCTCCGTGACTGTTTAGCACTGTACGATACAACGCAGGTGTTGGTCCCCTAATCTATGATGCACGCTGTGCATCATTGGAGAGCTCCATGACTCATCAGCCTGCCAGAGTGACCAGCGGATGTGCCTTCCACAGATTTCCAATCTGCTAGACATGCACACCTCTACAGCTGTGGATCATACAAACAGAATTCAGTAGCCCCAGGCAGAATAAACTTATGGTGCATTTGTCTGAGTAAATAATAAAAATAATAAGGAAATGCAAATTGTTTAATTATAATCCCTGTCCCACGATGGCATACATGAGTTGATTTTTGTGATACTAAAAGTGCATGATATTTTCCAAAATGCATTCACTGGATTGATTGGAACAGAGTGAATTACTCATATAAACAAACATTAACTCTTGCAACTCACAGGAAAAAAAACTTGGCAAAATCTCTTTGATAGTAACCCCAATATTTTTCTTTTTCACTAGAAAATTTGGTCCATGTACTCAACAGTTTCAAGGCATTTCCAGGGACCATCAAATTTTTACAAAAACAAGGATCAGGATTGCAGTTTTATTAATGAAATACCTTGGGCAAAGGATTTCTCTTATTTAAAGATTTATTTCTGTTAGAAAGTCAGATGAACAGAGAGGAGGAGAGACAGAGGAAAATCCTCCATGTGCTGATTACCTCCCCAAGCTGCCGCAACGGCTGGAGCTGTGCCCATCCGAAGCCAGGAGCCAGGAACCTCCTGCAGGTTTCCCATGCGGGTGTAGGCTCCCAAGGCTCTGGGCCATCCCCAACCACCTTCCCAGGCCACAAGCAGGGAGCCGGATAGGAAGCGGGGCCTCTAGGACCAGAACTGGCATCTACATGGGATCCCACTGTGGGCAAAGTGAGGTCTTCAGCGCTAGGCCACCGTGCCAGGCCCAAGATTTCTTTTTAACTTCATGGTAACAGTTTGCTGTTGCGCTCATGTTTGTACATGCTGCTGGCATCGAAAGCGTCCCAGTTTGCTGAAGTGGTCTGATACCTTTGTGCCATAGAGTTGATACCCCATTGACATCCCTGACTTGAGGACTCTGGTTCTCCCTGGTGCTGTTACAGCTTGCACTGGTTATGATATCCTGAATACAAATGAAGCAGGAGATACATAAAAGAAACCCCTTTTCAATACAAAATGCTCAAACTATGATTTTCAATGAAGACAAAGTACAACCTGCGGGATGGCCCAAGGTTGGGAGACTGTGTGTGGCTGTTTTATGGAAGTTTGAGGCTAGAATGTGAAAACCAAATATCATCCAAACAAAGGTGAATCAAATGACAAGAGACTCTGTTAGGGGCTACTTTATAAGTAAATTGAGGGTCAATAGCTATCAACTCTGGGCGCTCTTATCTCTGGGTTTGGTGTTTTTCTTTATTTTTGTTTTCTAGTGCAATTAAAATACATAATACATAAGACAACTGGAGATAAATTAAGGTATTTGGTTTTTGTTTTGACCCAGTGCTATTTAATGAAGACAGAATTAAACTTTGCTAGTGCTTAATTAATTCATTTATTCAATCAACATTTCATGAGCTCGAGAACATTTCTACCACCATCATTGAGTGTTTTCACTGGGCCTGGCCATGGGCTAACAATTTGAGGCACATTATCTGCTTTGACCTTCACAGGAACCCTCTGAAGTCTTACTCTTCGCTCACTTTAAGGCCTAAGAAACTGAGTCACAGTTTCCTAGTAGCAAAAGACAGTGAGTAGGGGAGTGGGTCAAAGTGGAGAACGGAGTCAGATCCAGGGCTCCACATCAGCTCATGGTTCAGGCAGCTGACGGCTCCGACAGGCGGCCCTGGCAGCCTGCTGTAACTGTGCATAGTGGGCCAGAGCTCACAACCGGCTGAGTGCAGGTGAGAGGTGTGGAGGGAAAAGCCAAGAACAGACGCAACACAATCTCATTCCCAGTCTCTTCCCACTCTCACCTCTGTTCTTCATTCGGAGCTTCTCAGAACAAAGCACCCTAGCATTTACTGCTCTTGGGAATGCTGTTATTTATCTTATGCCCAACTTGCCCCTTCAGGGTGATAATTCCTATACAGATGTTTAACACCTAGCATGTGCCAGGTACAGAGCAGGGTCTCAGAATGGTCTGGAAAACACACCAATGACTGCAACATGGTTAGGTCTACTATAAGGGCATGCCTCACACTTTGGAGAGGGAAGGAGCCCTTGGAAATCCTCACAAAGGGCTGAGATAGGTTTTAAAGGGTGGAAAAAGCCTTCTGAAAATCCAAGGAGCCATGGCAAGTGTGTTGGGCAAAGGAAATGCCATGTGCAAGATAGACTGGTAACAACGATGGGGAGCGAGAAGGGGACAGGGGTGGTTCTGTAAGGCCGAAATAAAAATAAGGACAAGGAAGTGACAAGATCCATTTCAGATACAGAACAGCAAAGCCCTTGATGTCATGAAGCTTCCGGGAGACAAGATGAATGAGACACAACAGGCATGCAGTAATCGTGCTTTCCAGAAGGACTGGAGAGCTGGGGACAGGCTAAGTTGCAGCCAGATGGGAATAAAAGGATCTGGCGTTCTACCGTGCACTGACGTGGACTACAGAGAATGATAATGCACTGTAAATTTCTCTGAAAAAATACAGGTAGAGAAAAGAATTCTAAATAGTTTCACCATAAAGAGATGACAAATGTCCGAGGAGACAAGATCTGTTTGTCCCGGTTTTCAACATTACACGATTTACACTGGTAACTACAACTCAAGGTTTCATTCAAACATGCATCATTTATGAAAAACAAATGTTGAAACAAAATCAAAAGAGACGCAAAATAGCTGACTAGAATATGCCAAGTGCCGAGAAGGACAAGGGCTGAGCATGATGGAGCAAGCAGGCTAGCCCCTTCGTCCCCACAGCAGCACTGTATACTGATACACAGACAGCTAGGGCAAAAAAACTGGGCCCCAGCCCCAGGGAAAGGACAGAAGCAGACTGCTGGGTTCCACAGCTAGTGCTCATCTGGTCCTGTAGCCGCATTCAGAAGACCTGCATAAGAGTATCTTTCAATGATTATTTAAGATGTAAACATTACAGCTTAGAAGTAGTTGAGTGTTGACCCTGTGGCTGTAACTGATTCCAAATTATGGACCAAACTGTCTGTCTGCCTTTGGGTGTACAGTGGTCTGGAGTTCAGCACGACTCTCACTACTGAGATGCCTGACCTTGGGACACCATGGCACTTTGCTGGATCTCAGCTTGTTCACCTGGACAACAGACATTATCTATGTGTTGTATTTCACAGGGTTGATTCAGGGTGTAAATGGATAATGCCAGTAAGGGACGTGGTACTAATGTACAAACGTAATAGTTTGGTATTTCCCCCAAACCATGCCACAGGTGGTACAGCTGATAGGAAATGGAAAAAACTTCAAAAGTTTCAAAAAATAAAAAGCTTTGGGCAAATGAAGGCACTATGTAAGTACTTTGTCAACATGTTACTGCTGGAGTTCCTCAACTGTTTATTCTCTGTGTTCATGAACTTGCAGACTGCACCTGGGCTGGTGGGGCTCTCAATGTAATATGTGATTACTGTGCTCATTGGGGTCTGACACATTACAATGGTACTTAGCTTTGAAAAGGGATAAATTCTGCGAGACCATTTCCTGATTCCAATGCAATCTTGTTTTTCTCACATAAGTGCACCTAATGCAGAGAACTCACTTTTTAAAATGTTCCACAAATTAAGTTATTGCTCAGTAACTTGCATGCTGATCAAGGATATACATTAATTCACTAGTATGTATTTCATAGGCAGACAGGTGACCTTTGGGTAGACATACCATCAGCAACAACGGAATGGTCCCAATTAGAGACCATTCTGCTAAGTTTGATGAGCCACTTCCAAAAGGATACAACTATCATGTCTTCACTAAGACAACCTTCATGCAAAATACAAGATAATCAGATATATAGGTAAACATGTAAATAACATATATTGATCAAGAGGAGCTGTATATTGGAGACTAGCATACCAAGAAATGAAGATAAATTGCAGTATGCATCTCTACTGTAAAAGATGGACTCCCACTGAAATTGTTGTCTATACCTACAATGTCCTGATACACTTAAATAGCACAACGACGATTTGTGACTGTTGTTGAAGCCCTATTCTATTATAACACAGGGAAAATCACTGCGGGGGAAGGAAGGGAGGGAACGTGGAGAGGGAGGAAGGGGAAATCCTTGAGCCTGTGAAACTATCATGAAAAAATACAAAAATTTAAAAAGGAAGAGACTTACAATGGCGTTTTGTGGTACTGAACTGGA